CTGCTACCCGTCGCTTAAATGAGACCCTCCTTCCCTCCCTCCGCCTCCTGGGGCAGGCGATAAGATCATCGTCTTCTCGGACAGCGTCTATGCCCTTTCCAAATATGCGCAACTCTTCGGGCGGGACGCGATTTATGGAGGGACCAAGGAAAGCGACCGGGAGAGACTGCTGGCCGCGTTTCGGATCAGCAGTCGGGTCAACACCATCTTCCTCTCGCGCGTGGGCGACACCTCCATCGACCTGCCCGAAGCGAACGTCATCATTCAAATTTCTTCCCAGTTCGGGTCCCGACGACAGGAGGCCCAACGGCTCGGGAGAATTCTCCGGCCGAAACAAACGGCCGACGAAGGCTTCAACGCCTTCTTTTACACCTTGGGTAAGTGGAAGGAGGACGGGGGAGGGAGGGAAGGAGATCTTGGGCATTGGTTTTACAGTACCACGTCCTTTTGAATGCTCCTGCTCTCCTCCCTATGTGTTACCGTTGCGGCGACTTTGTTTGCTTCATCCGCTGCTGGGAATGACTTTTCAGACATATTGGGGTCACGTGGTGCTGTGTGTTTGATCTTGTAGCCATCCCGTGTCCTACAAGCTAGCTTGCTTTTTCTTCCCTTCTCAGAACCCCCGGCATTCCCTCCCTCCCTCCCTCCCTCCCTTCCAGTGTGCACCGACACGGTGGAGATGCGCTACTCGACGAAACGCCAGCAATACCTGGTTGATCAGGGCTATACCTACAAGGTGATCCCAAACCTGCTGGACGACGCCCAGAAAAAATGCGCGACAGACCCCAAGTACCTGATGAGCAACCTGAGCGCCGAGCAGGAGCTACGGCTCTTGACCCAGGCCTTGATGGACGCCAACACCTACGAGGAGATGGAGGCGGCGGAAGGCCGGGTCTTGCAACGAGCCATCCAGGAAGGGGAGGAGGAGGACGGAGGGAGCGACCGGGGGATGGTGTACGGAGGGGCGGGCGTGGCGGCGGCGGGCGTGAGGAGGACCACGGGCTCGATGGCCGCGCTCTCGGGGGGGCAAGGCATGGCCTACGTCGAGTCTTCCACGGGGGGGAAAAAGAGGAGGTAGTGAGGAGGGAGGGGGAGGGAGTCGGGAGGGAGAAAGATGGTTGATGGGTAGGAGGATGGAGGAATGAGGTGAGGTGGAGGGGAGGGAAGGGGGGGTGAAGGCGGTGAGCAGGCCCACTACGGACGGCAGAAGCCTTGAAAAAGCCAAAGCAATCAGCTTTGCGTGTCGCTGCGAGAAAAACTGTCCGTAAATTTTTGCTTTGGGATCGGAGTCTGCAGCCGTTCTCTTCCTCAGGT